AGAGACACTCACCTCTGCGATTTGTGTCCGTGCTGCCCCATTCAACATTATGGGCGTTCGCATCGCACCCCACTATAAGATGGAGCCGTCTCCTCCTGCAGTACTCCACTAACCTCTGTACCTCTTGTGGTGGGGCATAGCTGCTGTCCCCCGGAAAGTAGGCCGCAGCGAACACCACCTCTACGTTGCTATCGCAAATGGTCAGCGACGTCTGCACTGCGACTAGGTCCTGTGTTAAAAATTCTGTAATGCAAAAGTAATCAATATTTTCATTAAGCACTACACACGCTCTGGGCCTCTCACAGGAGAGGTCCCAAATTACCTTGTTCCTTTTATGGTTACATAAGTTGCAATAAGTTACGTCGTATCATCATTTAGGCACTCCGCACATTAAGCTCCTAATCACAGTAGTGTAATCGTTTCGGCATACTAAAGTATAAAGCTTTTATGCCGAACCCATGTATTTCAATGAAGCTCTGTAGATTACGATTCAAAATCATGTTTGCGCCTAATCATAACAGCTTCATGAATCGAAGCGCCCAACATTGTAAGGCGCTTGCAGTTTTGAAATCGTCATTTGTTTACTTTTTTGTGTGGGACAAAAATTTGTTTGTCAATTCAATAGAAAATAAGTGGAAATGAATGATTTCGTGCTAAAATTCGTGCAATTGCAATATTTCGGAGAAGAAATATTTGCGGAAGTGCGTGTTGCGAAAGAACGACCAAAAAATTTGTTATGTGTTTATTAGCTGGTGACTTATGCAGGGCGTGCAAGTGTGCAGAAGTCGAGTCGTCATGCATTCGTTTCGGTATGATGACACGATTACTCTACTTTGATTAGGCGCGTAATGTGCCGAGTGCCTTAATAATCTCTTAAGCAAAAGTTTCTTTCCACAATCATGTATAACATGAATTCCAAAGATCATTAATAGTAAATATATATATAAGTGCAACAATTGCGAGAAGGTTTCACAACTACATCATCAACAACTTCAAAAGCAGTTCGCACATCAACAATTTCAATATATCAAAATTTTCACAAGCTATACAAGTGCAGCAAGGATCTATAACAATAATAGCCATAGCAGTTGCAGTTTGCAAAACTAACAAGCTCAAAGACACCAATGAGGATTTTTTTTAAATTTTGGCCTCTACATATGTATCTTATTGAAGCAATGAGCGTTCAATTTCATACGATCAAACTTGGTGAGCTGTATTGTTTAATTTTTAGATTAAATATAACTTTAGTATTAATTTGTATTGCAAGATATTTTCAATATAAGTTCTTATCTTAAGTCTTTCTTTGACGTAATATCTAAATTACATATATACATTTTTGAATATTTAACAATATTAACAAACTTATTACATTATTACTTAATATTAAGTATTTGTTATTAGTATTAATATTGTTGAAATTATTTCTCTTGTACACTCCTTCTCCAGTAGATTTTAAAAATGCATCGATCACCTATACGTACATGCAACTTCTCAACAACAGAAAACCAAAATGAAAATCAAACTCACACCTCAGATTTAAATACTACACAAAATATAAATTCTAACAGTTTGACACAAAATGAAAATAACTTTAGTTCGAATATTTCAAAATCTATTAAATTACCTAATTTTTGGGAAGATTGCCCCGAAGCATGGTTTCTGCTTGTAGAAGGACAATTCGAAATTGATAATATATGTGATGATAATATCAAATTTCAAAACATTTTGATTGTTCTTCAACGAGAAACGTTTTCAAAAATTATTGATGTTATCAATCCACCGCCATCAATCAACAAATACGAAACCATCAAAAAGGTTTTGTGCGAAAGATTTTCTCTTATCGAAGAAAAGATACTTGAACAATTATTTTCAAATACTGAACTAGGTGATCGGTCACCATCAGAACTTTTTAGACATATGAAGTCTTTAGCAGGTACAAAATCAATTGTTAGTAGAGAACTTTTATTTAAATTGTGGAGTAGAAAATTACCGCAACAAATTCAAATTCATATAACATCCTGTAGTAATCAAAATTCTGAAGAAATTATTTCTCTTGCAGATAAATTGTTTGATTTGATTAATAAACCCCAGACATCTAAATCTTTAAGTATTGCTAGTGTAGAAAATAATAATAATATTCTTGAACAATGTATTAAATATTTGACTGAGTTGACTACAACTATTTATCAAAATTTAAACAAGATTACTATGGATATTAATGAATTAAAACTTAGAGAAAGATCTAGAGAAAGAAGTCATTCTAAGTCAAGAAGGTTTTCTAGATCAAGAGATAATTCTAATCAAAACATTTGTTGGTACCACAGAAAATTCAAAAATAACGCCTATAAATGTATTCAACCTTGTAATTTTAATACAAATAGTGATCATTCAAATACAAATGCTTTAAACTAAATCGTTCCATTATGACGGTGAGAGATAGAGATAGTTGGTTGGGTATGGCACTGCGACCAATAGGTCTATTGTGCCCCTAGCTCATCACAATACATCAACCAGCCCCAGAGTGTCTATAAATTTCATAATAGACCCCGGGGACAGTGAGTGTATGTGCTCCTCTCTTGGCCAGACATGCCCTATGCTCCTATACCTCCTGCGTGCAACGGCATCACACTCCATAAGAAGGTGTAGAGGGGTCTCTTTGGCTGCATCGCAAAAGCGACACAGGTCGCTGGACCAGATACCTAATTTATGCAGGTGCCCTCTGAGCCTACAGTGGCCCGTCAAAAAACCTGTAATAATCCTTAGTTTCTCTTTCGGGAGATCCATGAGAAGCCTGTATCTTGACAGATTGTAACCTCCTAATAAGCTTTTTGCCTGACGTTGGCCCATGGTGCCAAGCCAGTGTAATTCCCTCAGTTTGCTGTTGTCCCTTCTGAGCATTTCCTTTATGGTGTTTGGTCCTACTGCCAGAAAGGGCTCAGGTCCTATCGGGGTCGAGGAAGCGGCCGTTCTGGCCAGATGATCAGCTTCCTCATTTCCTGCGACCCCCATGTGCCCTGGTACCCACATTAGTTGGATATCATTGACCTCCGCCAGAGCATTGAGCCTCTCGACACACTCCCTAACCAAGGAGGACTTGATCTCGAATGATGCGAGGGCCCTTAATGCCGCCTGGCTATCACTTAGTATAAGTATCCTTTCATTCCTATAGTTCCTGCGAATATTAATCTCAGCGCACATACTGATGGCATAGACCTCCGCTTGAAAGATGCTAGGGAAAGTCCCCAGGGACATCGAAAGCTTCAGCCTAGGGCCGTACACGCCTGCTCCAATCCCCGCGGGTGTTTTAGAGCCGTCCGTGTACCACTGTATTGTGCTCGCCTGTATGTGACTCTCCATAATAGAGGTACACCAGGTCGCCTTGCTATATGTGTGGGTCCTGAAATTTCTCTTGAATGTCACCTCTCTGTTGATATCGTCCCTGGGGAACAAAGCCAGGGGGAGCTGGGTGCCTAGCTTGTCCCTGTTCCTAGATGATAACACCTTGCCTTTGCCGAAGCCCTCTCTCGCAAAGTTAAGGAGGGTTCGCTTTGCAGCCTGTTCAATTGAGAGATGCAGTGGCTCGAGTTCCAGCATTACCTCTAGCGCTGCCGTCGGGCATGTGCGCATTGCTCCCGTAATGCAAACACATGCCAGACGTTGAATCTTGGAGAGGGTCACAGAAGCTTGGAGTCCAGGGTAAGCCCCAGATACCTAACCTCTGTGGCGACACTGATTGCGACCCCGTCCAAGGTCAAGTTCCTCATCCCCTGGAGATTTCGTTTCTTGGTGAAGGGGACTATGGCTGTCTTAGAAGGGTTGATATTTAGACCTACGTCTGTGCACCACCTTTTCGCAAGGTTAAGTCCTTTTTGGACGATGTCACAGAGAGTACTTGCGAACTTCCCTCTAGCGATAATCACTATGTCGTCCGCGTACCCTTGGCAGCGGACGCCCTCGTTAGTGAGTATCTGTAGGAGTTCGTCCACAACTAAGCTCCACAGTAGAGGAGATAATACCCCCCCTTGTGGGCACCCTTTAGTCGTTTGTATTTGAACGACGCTGTCACCGACTTCAGTTTCGGCAATCCTGGTCTGAAGTAACCTTTCTATCCATCTTCGGATGGTTGGCTGAACGTTATGTTTCCCAAGAGCTCTGTCGACTCCCAAATGGGAGGCGTTATCGAAGGCCCCCTCGATATCGAGGAAGGCACAGAGCACCACCTCATCACACTCAAAGGCCCCTTGTATTTCCTCCGTTAAGGCATACAGCGCAGTATCCGTGGATCTCCCCACCCTGTACGCGTGCTGGTTGGAATGCAGAGGGGTTTGTTTTAGAGTGTTATACCTGATTTCATGGTCAATAATTTTCTCCATTGCCTTTAACATAAAGGATGTGAGACTTATCGGCCTGAATGACTTGGCAAGAGAGTAATCCCTCTTACCTACCTTCGGGATAAAAGTAACCCTAGCCCTTTGCCACACCTTGGGAATGTGAGCCAGTGCTAGACTGTCCCTCATAATGTCCACCAGATGTGGCAGTAAGAGCTCCCCGCCGTGCTTTAGTAGCGCCGGACATACACCATCCACCCCAGGGGCCTTGTACCGTTCGAAGGAGTCCAGAGCCCACCGCACTGTTTGCCGGTTTATAAGGCTTCTAGCCACCTTCCAGTCCGGTGGGGATGGCCTGAACGCACGGAACAACGTATCCCCAGCGGTGGGAATGGCGTCCGGAAAGTGGGCCGATAGCAGAGCGAGTGCCCTCTCCTGTTCATTACCTGAAAAGGCCCCATTAGGTAGCCTAATAGCCAGTCTGGTCCCTGTGTTGTCTCTCGCTAAGGCTTTATGCAGCCTAGCAGCTGCAGGAGTAGATGCGATATTCTCACAAAAAGTTCTGAAGCTGCTACGCTTGGCCTTCCTAATCTCCCGTGTCCACCAGGGAGGCTGAGCTTTCCCTTTTGGCTTTGACACGGGACAGCTGGAGGTAAAGGCATTCAGAATGGTGCCGTTCAGCTTGTTGACCCTGTCCTCTAACTCCATACAATCCACCTTTTTATGTTGTGCCTCTATTCTGCTTAGGTTCAACCTAAGTACCTCTTCATATTTATCCCAGTCTGTTTTCCTGGGGTTCCTCTTTGGGTGACCTGTCAGAACCTCAGCTCCCAGTGCAAATCGGATAATCCTGTGATCCGACAGTGAGGGCTCAGATGAGACCCGCCACTGAACGATCAGAGGGCTGGCCAGTCTGTTGCTGAGAGTGATGTCGAGTACCTCCTCTCTGACCCTGGTTATGAACGTTGGTTCATTACCGACATTATGGATGCACAGGTCTTCACTGATAATATATTCTAATAAGCACTCACCCCTACGGTTTGTGTCCGAGCTGCCCCACTCTATATTGTGGGCGTTCGCATCGCAGCCAAGAATCGGTGGAAGTCGTTTCCTGCGGCAAAATTCCAGCAGCTGCTGTACCTCAAGAGGCGGCACGTTGGCGTTGTCCCCCGGAAAGTAGGCTGCAGCCAAGACCACCTCCAGTTCCTTCCCGTTGACCCTTAAGGTAGCTTGGACCGCTACCAGATCCTGTGTAAGAAATTCTGTAATGCAAAAGTAATTAATATTATTCTTTAGCACTACGCACGCTCTGGGCCTCTCGCAGGAAAGGTCCCAAATTACCTTATTGTTGTTATGATTGAGGCCCCTCACCTGGCCTCTGTAGGTCCACGGTTCCTGAATCAGTAGGATTCCCAGGTCCTCCGTGGCAAACCTGCTTGCAATGATCGCCGAGGCGGCCACCGCGTGATGCAAGTTGACCTGGGCTACTGTTAGCGCTGTTGGGCTCATAGTTGGGGCTCGTCCTCGATGTTCGAAAGCCGTGCCTCACCCTCGCCCTCTCTGTCGAGTTCGAGCCTGCTTATGTCCGCTAGGAGCTCTTGTGTGGTGCGCATGTAGTCGGTGACACTTGGCCCGGGAGCGCTCACAAGAGCTGGTGCCTGTGCTAATTCCGATAGCTGATCTCCCAGTGGGGCCGTGGTCGACTCGGTCGCTGGGGCAGCAGTGGAGTCAGTAGTCTCGTCGACTTGCATGTCTTGGGACTCTGACTCCTTGCTGCCTGTCGTCTTATGCCGCCATGGCCGCACCGTAACAAAACTGTACCGGAAGTTGATTGTGAATCCGGCCCTCTTAATGCTGACATACGACGCCTCATCGATCCCCAGGTTGAGCCTGAGACCGTTATCTTCGGCGCCGCATGAAACCACCTTCCACGCAGCAGTGTGGATGTCCTCATTCTGGGCCTTGATGAGCCCCAGCACGTACTCCGCCGATTTATCGGCGCATCTTGGGAAGAACACCGAGATATTATGCACCGGCGGGATATCATCCCCCCTCTTGGTACATAACGCGGGCCCCTCCCATCCCTCAATGTTTGGTGCCTTATCCACCAGCCATGCTGCGGTCCGCTCATCCTTGCAGTCCACAAGGAGCATACCTGACCTGAAAAATACCCCACAAAAGACCAGTGCGTGCTTCCACCCTTTAAGGACCTCATCCATGATGGCGTCCTGGAGTTTGGTCAGGTCCTCAGGGCTTAGGGCAGCAGCAGGGTAATCACAGGGCAGTACAGCCACCCGGATGCCTTTAAGAGCATCTGAATAGCTAGGCTGCTTAGTGATTCCCTCCTGTGGCTGACCCTGGCCCGCGGACCCATCCAAGCCCCTAGACTCTGTTGGAGGGGGTGGGAGCCCCCGCGGCCGTTTGGGGGACGGTGGCTCAGGTGGTGTGACCTGTAGGCTGGTGCGTTTTGGAGTAGCTGTTGTTGAGCCTGTTGTGGTACCTGTAGGTTCCCCGCTTCTCCGCCATTTGGCGGGCGCGGGTCTCTGCTGCTGTTGCCCGCTTCTCTGCTTTTCAGCAGGCGCGGGTTTCTGATGCTGTAGCCCGCTTCTCTGCTTTTCAGCAGGCGCGGGTCTCTGCTGCTGTTGCCCGCTTCTCTGCTTTTCAGCAGGCGCGGGTCTCTGATGCTGTTGCCCGCTTCTCTGCTTTTCAGCAGGCGCGGGTAGTTCGCCTCTCTGCTGCATACCGGCGGTTGCAGCCGTCTTACCACTCTCTTGTGCCTCTTTCTCCACCTCTTGCCTTACTTCCGCCATTGCGCGGGCTACGCTCGGCTTCTTCCCCTGCTCCAGGTACCGGAGATACCACTTGACCCCCGATCCACTAAGACCAGCTCGATGGTGGTCGTCAAGGGCTCCCGGTTGACCGGAGGGCGGAAGTGGAGGCGGTCTACACCTGCGGCTTTTCTTTTTGCTGTCTTGCAGCTGCCACCCTGACTCGAGCGATGAGGTTCGACTAGGAGACCTGCGGTGCCTACTGCTAGAGCGGTGCCCACTGCCTGAGCGATGCCTGCTCTTCGAGCGATGCCGACCCTCGGATCGGCCTCGGCTCCCCGAGCGGTCATGGCTCCGGGAGCGGTCACGACTCCTGGAGCGACGCCAACTGGCCCCCCGGTTCCTGCTTGGCGATCGGTGCCTGTTTTTTGAGGCCAGAGCCTCTGCACCCTTGGTGCCCTCCGACCGAAGCTGCGCCCGATCCACGCCGCCACTGCTAGTGCTTGGCCTCTCATCTTCTCTGGCGTGTTCAATAAAAAGGGCAGCCTCCTCCTCGGATAGGCTCGCAAGAAAGCCTCCCATGCGCCTGGTGCCTTTACCTTCGCCCAGCATAGAACTGCCGAGCTTGACCGTTGGTACCTTTGGTGCCCTTGACATAACTGTCTTCGTGGCTGCTGCTGCTGTTGTAGCTGTAGTTGTGACTGTTGTAGAGGCTGTTGCTGATGGTGTGGCTGTTGCAGCTGTTGTGGCTGTAGTTGTAGCTGTAGCTGTAGCTGTTTTCGCGGATTTCGCGATGGTTTTTGTTGTTTTTGTGTTTTTTTGGTTTTTAGTTGTATTCATCTTGTTCGTACGACTGCCAGCCCGGCTAGGCAAGCTCAGCAGTCAAAGTTGTAGTAGGGGATCTTATCTGGTCCGCCGCGCCAGCGCCCCATGTCGCGGTAAGGCCACCGTTACTCCTCGATGCGGCCCGGTGTCGAAGAGGCGCCGTTATAATACAGCCGGTTTTTCCTCCTGGCTGCAAACCGTCCAATAGGCACGGTGTCGCGTAACACCCTGGATTAGGAGGTGGCAGTTCTTGGTCACTGTTTGCCGGCAGCCCCAATCTGGAGACAAGGTAGCGCAGAAGCGACGAGCGCGTCCACGATACCCCAGACCAGAGATGGGCTGATCGGCAATTCAGCTAAGCCCCCGCACCAACGGCAAGGTGCCTGCCCTAGCGAGGGGTTATGACGGTGGCTAATAATGGAAATGGCGTTAAACCTTCTCGCCGCCTTTTTATCTTTGATAAATTCAATAAATTAAACTTTTTAATAGATACTGGTGCGATAGTTTCTGTGGTTGCTTCTTCTAAATTTAAATCATATAAAAGAAATTCAGATCTTAATTTGACTGCAGCTAAAGATTCTTCTATTAAAACATTCGGTACAAAACTTTTAAAAATTGATTTGGGTTTAAGACGAGATTTTGAATTTCCTTTCATTTTGGCAGATATTTCAACTCCGATTATTGGTGCAAATTTTTTAGAAAAATTCGGTATATTAGTTGATATTAAAAACAAAGAAATTATTGATTTCTAAACTAAATTAAAGACTTCTGTATCTTCAGGTTTCTGTCATATTTTTTCACTTAAGATACCAATTATTGAAAATAAATTTTCTAAAATTTTAAATGATTTTCCTTCAATAACCTGTGAACCAGATTACACTAAGCCAGTGCAACACCAAACGGTTCACAGAATTGAAACAAAAGGAGTTCTACCTTTCTCCAAACCTCGTCGTCTTGATCCAATTAAATTAAAAATAGCTAAAACTGAATTTGAATTTTTAATTAAAACGGGTATATATAGACCTTCAAACTCCCACATTGCATCTCCTTTACATTTGGTTCCCAAAAAAGAACCAAATGATTGGAGACCTTGTGGAGATTACAGAATACTTAACTGCATTACTATACCTGATCGTTATCCGTTACCTCACATTCATGATTTAAATATTGATTTTAAAAATAAACAAATATTTTCAAAAATTGATCTTGACTGAAGAAGGTATTCACAAAACAGCAATAACTACTCCCTTTGGAATGTTTGAGTTTGTACGTATGCCTTTCAATTTACGAAACAGTGCACAAACATTTCAACGGTTTATAAATGAAGTATTTTCAGGCTTAGAATTTGTTTTTGTCTATATTGACGATATTCTTGTTGCAAGTGATAACGAAGATCAGCATTTTGAGCATTTAAAATCTGTATTTGATAGACTTGAAAAATATAATTTGAATATTAAGCCCAGCAAATGTATTTTTGGGACAAGCAAATTGGATTTTCTAAGTTATGAAATTTCAGGTAAAGGAATTAAACCTTCTTTCGATCGAATTGAAACAATTACAAATTTTGAAAAACCATTTTCTATAAACAAGTTACAAAAATTTTCAGGCATGGTTAACTATTATCACAGATACGTAAAGATGTTAGCAACAGAACTTAGTCCTCTACATGAAATGTTAACATTTTCAACTAAACATAAACTTAAAGAACTAAATTGGACAGATAAAACAATCAATGCTTTTGAAAATGTTAAGAAACTTTTTACACAGCAAACTTTGCTTACGCATTTTGACAAAAATGGTAAATTATCACTTGCTGTAAGCGCATCAAATACAGCTATTGGTGCAGTTTTACAACAAATTAGTGATAACACTTTAGAACCACTTGCCTATTTTTCACGAAAATTATCTCCTACTGCAATGAATTACTCAACGGTTGACAGAGAGCTTTTGGCAATATACAATTCAATTAAACACTTTAAACATTTTCTTGAGGGTAGAATTTTTACTGTATACACTGATCATAAACATTTAACACATGTTATAAATTCAAAATCAGAAAAATCACCTCGACAAATTCGACACCTTGAGTACATAGCACAATTTACAAATGACATTCAATACATTTCTGGGAAAGAAAACATTGTTGCTGACACACTTTCATGTATTCCAGATGTTAACACGATTTTAGCTCAGGATATAAATTTTCAGACGTTATACGAGGAACAAAAAAAAGATCAAACACTTCAAGGCATTATAACTGATCAAAATGGTAATAGTAATTTAAAAGAAATTAATATTCCGATTCTTGATCTTAATATTTGGTGTGATATTTCACAAAAACCTTTTAGACCATCTGTTCCAAATTCTATGAGAAAAATCATTTTTGACAAAATTCACTCTATCACATCCAAGTATCCGTACAACTAGACGTTTGATTCAATCTAAATATTTTTGGCCTTATATGCGTAAAGAGATAAATAATTGGACTTCTGCTTGTAGAAGTTGCCAAAAATTAAAAATTTCAAAGAATACCAAAACACCCGTGCAAAAAAGTAGTATACCTTCTGGACGATTTGAACACATTCATATGGATCTTGTTGGTCCATTACCTGTATCAAAAGGAGATTTCCTNTTGAACACATTCATATGGATCTTGTTGGTCCATTACCTGTATCAAAAGGAAATCGTTACATTTTTACTATAATTGATAGACATACACGTTGGCCAGAAGCATATCCACTTAGGGATATTTCAGCAAATACTATAGTAACAACATTTCTTCAAAATTACGTTCCTCGTTTCGGAATTCCACTTAATATTACAGTTGATCAAGGATCACAATTTCCTCCAAATTATTCAGTGAGTTAACAAAATTAATAGGATCTCACAAGATTCATACATATTGTGACCAACCCTACTTCTTTCAGAAGTACAGTACTTCTTTTTTCGCTCTTGTACTTCGTACTTCGAAGTACAGTCAAATGTACTTCTTTCCGATATTTTATACTTCAGAAGGGTGATTCTGTAACCAGTTGCGATAATTTTCGGATGTCTATCACACTTTTTGACGCATGATATAAATGTTTATTAATTGCAAATTCGATTTTCCCTAACTGCTTTACCCAATCACTGTGAGCTACCGGTTCGCTTAATTTTGCTAACATACTCACTAAACTTCGGTTCACTCTTTCTGCCTGTCCATTTGCTTGTGGGGAGTGCACTGCCACCTTTACATGAGTTATGTTTTTATCGCACAGATATTGCTTAAATTCTTTGGAAGTGAAACAACTGCCTCTATCTGTAATACATCTGTGTGGACGACTGTAGTATTCAAAATATTTATTTAAAGCCGCTGTTACTTCTTTTGTGCTAGTTGTTAATACCGGGTATAACTTGACATATTTGGTGAATGCATTTATTATCACTAAAATATGTTTTCTTTTTGATTGTAAAGATGGAAGTTGTCCTAAGTGGTCGAGATGGATCGTGTGAAAAGGTTTTGGTTCTTTTGGTATGTTATACAGATTGCTGTTATTAGTTTTCTTAGGAGCTGAATACATTATGCATCTTATGCAATTCTTTGTGTGATTGCTAATTTTATCCTTCATGTGAGGAAACCAGTAATTCGCTTTTATTTTTTGGTAACATTTATCTACGCCTTGGTGTCCTAACTGTTCGTGTAATAATCTTATTAATTCCTTTTCAAGCTCTTTAGGGACGAATAATAATAAACGACCTTTTTGTTTTCTAAACACTACACCGTTTTCCATTGCAAAATTTTTAATTTCTTCTTTCTCTAATCGCTCCTTTAACTCTATTATGTGTTCATCCCTGCTCTGCATAACTTGCAACTGGANCTGCCGAGAACGTATCAACGTCCGTTTCAATGAGCACATTATAGTATTTAGACTTATCTTTCTTGACTTCAATGTATTTAATAATTTTAAAGTCAGCACTTTTTAAACATTCATTTTGTTTTTTTATCATTTCTATAAGTTGCTCGCTTTCATATTTAAAGCTTACTCCAAACGCCATAAACTTGGCTTTAGCCGTATTCGGCACTCTTATTTCATAGCGATCACTCATTTTATTTGCAATTGCGGTCTTTATTTTATCGCGCTCAGATTCGTTTTCGCTTTGAATAACGATTGTACCACTTTTCCTACCCTGCACATTGCTTATTTTTAGATCAGACGGACCAACGTTCTTATTCAGGTCCTCTTTTGTTTTCATCGCGTCTTGCTTCTCTTTCGGTTTTATGATCAGGGGTTTCTCTTTATTTATTTTCGGCACTTTGTGATTCACTATTCCGCTTTTTAAACGCTCAGCATATGAGGCCTTGCTATGATGACTTGATTTCAGCTTTTCACTTACTGACTTTTATTTCTTCACATATTTTTCTACTTTCACTCTCATTTCGTACCATAGCTTCGCATAGATCTTGGCTATGCTTTTTCACATCTTCAGCTACAGCTTTCATCTTATTGGCCTCAGCAATGCTCGTTTCGCATGTTTTTTGAACTCTTTGCATTGCATCTATACGCTCACCGAATTTCCTCTCTATAGCTTCTAAAAGGAGCTTTAGCTCTTTAACCTGCATTTTTTGTGACTCTTGAAAGTCGTCTTTACACTCTTTTATGTTTTTACTATTATTCTCTATAGAGATATTCATGTTTCGCAACACCTCATCAATATTATGCATATATGTGAGACAGCCATCACACTTAAAGCGCACATATGCATTGTCCGCAAGTACTTTTTTACTGTACTCATCGAGATCAGAGCATTTCTTTGCCCAGTGAAACACTTTGCCGCATATACCTTCACAGCGGATTCCACTCTCACCGCGTATTAGGCCTTTGCACTTATGGCAGTCACCCATTTTCTTGGCTGACACTTCACTGGATTTTTCAGTGTTTTTTATTTATTTACAAGGCTTGGGACCCTTGTCGCACGGTGTTATCGACACTTGTGTTTATTATGGTTCACAATTCGTTATTTGTGTTTGTATGTATGTGTTATGTTTACTAGATGTGAAGCACGAAGCCGCTGCTGCGCGCCTTTTCGCCTATCACTATTCTCTTCACTTTCACCGTTTTCTTCCTAGTCAAAGTATACTTTAATTTAATTTGATTTGCTTAAACTAGTGTCACTATCACTTTGCTATTTAGCGAAATTCTTTTTCCGATTATATATATGAATCGCTATTTGCATTTGAAATCGCGTTAAGCTATTAAAAACCGCTGAATTCAAAAAAATTCGCGGAGCCAACCATAACACGACCTTTCACACCCACGATCACTTGAAAAGATAACAATTCTTTTGAAATTTATTTTATATCTTTTGCAAAAAAATCGAGTTACTTAACGAATGGATAAATAAATAAGTTTTGAATCTTCTTCTTCTTCTTTTTTGGCGCTGTAACCGCCTAAGCGATTTTGGCCGAGTTCAGCAAAGCACGCCAGTCGTTTCTCCTCTGTGCCAACTGACGCCAATTGGAAACGCCAAGTGAAGCCAAGTCCTTCTCCACCTGATCTTTCCATCGCAGTGGGGG